CCCCTCTCCACGCCTCCCCGGCGCGCTTCGCTCCCGGGACCGCACTTACCGGGAACTCACCGCCCGCGGGTCGGGCCGCTGCGCTCGCCGGGCGCCGCGGGGATCCTCAGGCTGCCGTCGCCCCCGCGCCCTTTGGGCGCGCTTGGCCCTTCGCTTAGAAGGCGGGCAGGGGGCGCGCACCGTCTCCCCCACCTATGACCGCCCCCAACCAGAGTCGCCCCCGCTGCAGCTCGGCCTCCGGGAGCGCCGGCCCGAGTCTCCCTGAAGCGCCCTCTCGGCCCCGGGTTGGATGCCGAGGAGGCGCGCCGCAGATGTGGAGGACCCCGAATCCGCGGTCAAAGGGCAGTTTGGCGCCCCCTTCTCCTGCGGGGCGGGGGGGGAGTGGCGGAAGTCAGCTGAACCCGGTTTTACAAGGACTCCAGGCCAGATCCTGATCAGCCTGGATGCTGGGGTGCGAAATTCTCTTTTCAACCCTCTGGGTGTGTGTGTGTGTGGGGGGTGACCGAAGTCGGGAACACCAGCGACACTTTTTTTTAAACAAAACTTTATTGGTAATAGTTTTCAAATATGTTTACAACAGCACACTGTTCGAGAGGAAGTCGCGTCCTTCGCAGCACACAGGTTGAATCGCCCCCGTGCCCACCCGGGGCCCCACCCCAGGCCTGAGAGCTCCTCCTGGGATAGGGAGAAGTTATGAGAGGGACAGATTTGGGCTCCCCACTTCTATTCAGAGAAAAAGAAGCACAAATTAGGGGAGGGGTGATGGACAGCTGACAGCTAATAGGAGGAGCGCCCAGGATGGGGGGCGGAGATAGTTCAGTGAATAAAACTGGCAGCCCTTCCCCAGCGACCCTGGCCTTGAACCGGGGCCAGGAGGGGGAGGGGGGCTTTGCCTCCTTTTGCGGGGGATGCCTTCCCAACTGAGCTGAGAGGAGGCTGGGCATTAAAATCTAGCTGAGAATAAAATTAAGGAGTTTTGGGGGGAGTGCTGCTGGGAGGAAAGACCCTGGGCTTGGGGCTCCCACTCTATCATTTTGGGGGACAACTCCTCTTTGGCAGGGAGGGGGGCAGCTGCTTTGTCTGGGTCCCAAAGCCCAAGGGTGACAAAAGGTCTGTTGGGGCAGAAGGGAATAGGCTTCAGGGGCTAAGACCCTTCCAGGCTTGGCAGGGGACCCCAGGAGTGGGGGACAGGGGAGATTAGCAGCTTGGAGGGGAGGTTGGAACCCCAGTTCCTTCCTTTATAAGTCAGTCTGCTTCCCAGCCTTGTTAAAATGGATTTGAGGAGGGGGCATGGGAGGGGGCTTTAGGAAGGTGGGAGGGAGGCACTGGTGGAACTTAAATAAGTTTGTAAATAAGATTGTAAATTGCTTTTTAAAAAACTCTAGCAAGCAACCCACTGGTATGTCACTAAAATCTCTCCTTCCCGGGTAGGATTGCTCTGAAGGGAAGGTTGGCCATTCTTTCATTCTCCCTTAGCAGGTGGTGCCTGTGGTTTGGTGAGGGAGGTGGAAGTGGGGGCTGGAGTTAAGTTCCGGCCCCTCTTTCCACACCCTGTCCCTGGATACACTAGCAAGACCTGGCCTGACTAGAACTGAGAACTTATTTAAAATAGGCAGAAGTGGGCTGGGGTGGGGGGCCATAAGGATAGGGGAAGGCAAAAGCAGTAGGGAGGCAGGAGGGCGAAAGGGGTGAGGGGGAGCAGCTGGTGTTTCTGTCCCTCTGAATATCTGGTCTTACTGCTCCCCCTACCCTGGAGGGTGGGGTGGGTGTGAAATTAGATGCAAGGAACTCTGGGGCCCTCTGGCTGTTCAATCCAACCCTCCCACCCACCCCCCCCACACAAAAAAAGAAAAAACCCTTGGGGGCACAGGCACACCCCTAAAACTCAGAAAACTCCTTGCCACACTTCTCATTGATGGAGACTCGAATCTCTTCCTCCTCATAGTCGTCAAAGTTACTCGTGTCCCCAGGGCCTTTAAACTTTGGTATGAAGGGAGCTTCCACCTGGAGAGGGGTCAAGAACCACCCAGACCTCAGCAGTCAACATAATCTTCATTACAACAATAAATGTGAATGGCCTAACATTCCTGCGATCACTTGCTAGGACCCAGGCCTGAGCTTAGCATTAAGATGTGGACTCACCTTAACAACCCAAGAATCTTATAGCCAACTCACCAATGGGGAAATGACTTTCCAGGGTGGGTCATCTCCTGCCCAAGGTCACAGAGTGGCTAAGTGACCCCCACAATCCCATTTCTAGACTTTTATTGCTCTAAACTGCCTCAGCTAGATTGACCCAAAGCCCATGGCCTATTTTCAAATTCCTCTTCCCTTTCTCTCTCTCTACTGGCAGCTTTCCCTGGCTCTTGGCCTGCCCCCAAAACTCTCTGCAAACCCAGGGAGGGGAGGGGGGCCCACCTTCCTCTGGTAGATGGCGATCCAGTCAGTTGTGGCAAACCACTTGTGGTTCTTGATGTCATTGACCCCATTCTTGAGGTTCCCAAAGCGCTTGGTGAGGTCCACCTGCAGTAGGTTCCGCAGCAGATCCTTCAGGTCAGAGCTGAAGTGAGACGGGAACCGCACCTGGGGGGCGGGTAGGGTCACAGACATGGTGGGAAACTGGTTTGGAGCTTGAGAACCCCAGAACACTGCCTTTATCATCCAATAGTCCTATGGGGCAGAGGACCCCAAACTTGAGTGTGTGTTGGAATCCCATTAAAACAGCTCATTGGGCCTGCTGGCATTTCTGATTCAGGTTTGGGCTGGGGCCTGAGAGTCTGCATTTCTCGCTAGTTCCCTGGCCATGCTGATGGTGCTGAAGAGGGGACTACTTAGAGAGCTGCTGGTCCAAGGTAAATGCTGTGATGGTTCCCATTTTAGAGAAGAGATAAATGAGGCTTGTAAGGGTTAAATAGCTTGCCGAAGGTCACACAGAGGAGTGGGATAGGGTGGCTCCATTTTGGGTCTCCTGGACTCCAGAAGTTGCATTTGTAGCCACTGCTTCCTAAAGTGGCTCTGCTGGGATCCGGGGACTTTGGAAATATCCACACTTATGAGAGAAACAACTGTTTTTCTATTTCTCTCTATCTGCATAGCTAAGCCTCTTCCATTCTTTCAGGCTCAGTTCAAATCTTCCAGAACTTTCCCCAAATGCTGGGAGCCCACAGCCTTTTATGCAACTAGTCACTAGATTTATAGCTACAAGAATGGACTGCTCTGCCTCTTACATGCTGTGTGACCTTGGCCACGGCCTTTAACCTCTCTGAGCCTGTGCCTGCCTCTCCAGCATGGGGCAGATATCCCAGGGTTGCATGAGGGAGATAAAACCGCTGAGGGCGCGTGGGAACTGTGAAATGCTACAAAGAAGGGAGTTAGGCTCTTCTCATTCCTCACGGAACCTTCTATGGCTTTTTCTTTGTTTCCTACTCTGGGCCATTCTCTTGGCAATTTCTATTCTGCCTGGTGGCAGACACCTCATCTTTTCCTTTTTCGTGACCCCACTTTGCAATTGGTGATTTCTCTCAACCTCCCTGAGAGGCAGGTGGCTGGTTCCCCAGTTCTCAGGTGGGTAAGGTGAGGCTCAGATGGGGAAGGCACTTGCCCGAGGTTTCAAAGCCAACGGGTGGCATAACTGGGACCTGCTCCCACCATTTCCTGAGCCAGGTGGAGGGATGGTTGGGTCCTCCCAGCAAGATGGGTGAGCTGAGGACAGAAGTGCCTCTTGGACCAGACATGTCCCCTTTCTGTACCTCAGCTTCCTCAGTCCCTCAGAGTGCTGGGTAGGATGGAGGGGGTGCAGTGGGGTGGTGGGTGCTTAGCACACTCTGTAAATGTAAGCTCTAACACTCTGCGAACACCCATTACGTGCACCCACCAAGTTAGGAAGTCTACATTTGGGAAAGGGGGTGTGGGCCATGCACCCCAAATGATTGCCAGTGGGGTCTGGGAACCAAACACATTCACTTTTCTATTGCAAAATTTGTGAAAACTCATGCTCGGCGGGGATGACTAGGGGAGAGAACAGCCTCATGTTGGACAGGGCGGGAGTGCAGATGAGACTTGAGATTTCGGAAGCTTTTGGGAGGTTGGCGCTGTGGGTCCAGGATTAGCCAGGAAGGTTGTGTGATGTGTTGGCCTTGGTCACTGTGGCCGGTGCATCTGGCTTCACCTCCTAGCCAGACTTAATGAACTTTCAGATTATTCTGACAATGACGGTGGGTGGGGAAGGGTCTGTCCCAGGTGGAGCCCCTGCATCCGGGCCTCACCTTCCCAGAGACAATCTTCTCATAGATCTGGATGGGCTGGTCAGCGAAGAAGGGTGGGTAGCCGGCGGCCATCTCATAGATGAGAACCCCCAGTGCCCACCAGTCCACAGCCTTGTTGTAGCCCTGGAGTGAGAAAGGGGCAAGGGGTGAGGGGAGAAAGGGGAGGAGGGGGCCATGCGTGGAGCAGGCCTCAGGGGCAGTGGGAAGGTTGGGGAAGTGCCTACTTTGCTCAGTATGATCTCAGGGGCCAGGTACTCAGGGGTCCCACACAAGGTCCAGGTGCGGCCTTTCACACGCTTGGCAAAACCAAAGTCTGTAACCTGTGGGCACAAGAGCAGGGTTGGCAGGGAGGAAGGGACAGTCCAGGCCATGGCTACCTAGGGCTACCCCTCGCCGGGCCCGGCGGGCACCTGAATGTAGCCCTGCTGGTCGATGAGAAGGTTCTCCGGCTTCAGGTCCCGGTAGATGAGATCAAGGGAGTGCAGGTACTCGAAGGTCAGGACGATCTGGGCGGCGTAGAAGCGGGCATGGGGCTCGCTGGCAAGGACAAGTGGAGAGGGGATGGGTGAGTGTGGGTGGCCACATCCAGCAGGCCCCAG